GTAGGGAAGTCCCGTTCAAATCGTCTAAGAGAATGAGTGTGAGATAATATACTTTTAGTTTGAGTGACTTATTTTTCAAAAGTTTTCGTAAAATTTTATACTCATAATTACTTTCTTATTTATATTTGTTATGAACTCTCTAAAGTGAAACTTATTCTCCAACATTCCTCTCACATATATTACTTGTCTTCGATCTCTAACATGAAATTGTAATTTTTTTTTTTATTTTTTACTTTACTGAAACATGAATTTGTACTTCAAAGCTCAGATTTTAGAGGTCACATATTTTACTTTCATTTGTTAGAACAAACAAAATGTAATATTTTTGTAAGAGAATTGTGAGTTAAAAAAAGGAGACATGGTTAAAAAATGGAAATGAGAGATAAGTAATTAATAAATGAAGAAAAAATCGTGACCAAGGAAAAAAAAAGCCACGAATATACGTGGATAGAATCTACAGTCAGAAAATGGATAATTTTAACTAGTGCACGTGTGGAAATATGCACATAAAATCCACAATGAATAGTAAATTAATATATTTAAAAGATAGACATATGTAATTCGTACAAGTATTTTATCATGTGAGGTAACTTTGATTATGATTTTTATAAAGTTCTTAAGCCAAGAATGAAAAGTTTCTCATGTGAGGTTATCAAAGGAAGCAATTTTTAATTTCACTCATATAATTTTGAAATTTGATAACTTATTCTATAAATTAACGAAATAATATTTTTTTTACTATGAAATTAATTTTTTTTTATGATTTGTTACAATTGATATATAAATATTTGTTTTCTGTAAAATCAAATGTTATTGAAAATCAATGAATACTTAAAATTCCAACGAGACTTATGTTTTCATCTGTTTTGTCAAGTATATTTCAAAATCTTTTCTTTTCTTTTTTTATTTTTATTTTGTTTTCTTATTGCATCACTCTTTTCTTTTTTAATTCTTTTTCTTTAAAAGAATTAAGGCATACTCAATCCATCTTTACATGAGAATCTGATAGAAATTTTATAGTTGTAATTTTCATAGTACAAACATATAAGAGGTTAAAAATTTATAATCATAATCACGGATCATTATAATTGATTTGATATTTTAGAGGTTAAAAATTATACATTCAAAAATGTATTTTGCATCTCCTCCCTTTTATTTTTGTAAGAGGATGAAAATATATATAAAAGGTTAATTGGATTTGATATTTTGTCTAATTTTACTTTAGTATTAATTTAAAGCATATATTATGGATCAATTTTTGTTTACAGTAATAGATAAATGAAATTAATTTCGCTTACCAATCATTTTCTATAAATATTAATGCGATGGTTATAGATATCTATATAACTTAAATGCGTGTTTGGGTTCTTCTTTAATTTTTTGATAATGCTTTTGAAAAAAATTCACAGAAACCAGGTCCCCTACTATATTTGTTGAATTTATTTTCTTGCCACATGGATTAATTATCAGCAATTATCACTTGGCTATTGAGTTGATCTGAACCACATGCACTTCTTTTCTGATCCCTTGTATCCAATTCTCAAACTCAATATAAAGCTATACAACAGAAATACTACCATCTACTAGTCTCAAATTCCTCATCAAAATGAAACATTTTTTGCCCATGTTACCTGCGTTTTGGTCTATATATGCGCACTTGTTTTCTCTTTTTATTATAAATTCTCTATGGCTTGGCCCAATCATAACTGTCTTGCCATCAGGAAATGAGAGTGATCATTTGGTACTACTCAAATTCAAGGAATCCATATCCACCGACCCATATGGAATCTTTCTCTCGTGGAATACTTCCAATCATTTTTGTAACTGGCATGGAATCACATGTAATACCATGCTTCAAAGAGTTATAGAATTGAACTTGGATGGATACAATTTGAAGGGATTCATATCACCTCACATAGGCAATCTCTCTTATATGAGAAACTTCAGCCTCGCAGACAACAATATCTACGGCAAAATCCCACAAGAATTGGGACGGTTGTCACATCTGCAACAACTCAATCTCAGAAATAACTCATTGGCAGGAAACATTCCTACAAACTTGACTGGTTGTACTGAACTCAAAACCTTAAACTTGAGGCAGAACAATTTGGTTGGAAAAATACCGATTGAAATTGGCTCGTTATTTCGGAAGCTTCAAGTTTTGACTGTTGCTAAAAACCAGTTAAGAGGAAGAATCCCATCCTGCATTGGTAATCTCTCATCCCTAACTTTTCTCTCAATAGGTGGAAACAACTTAGAAGGGGATATTCCACAAGAAACATGTCGTCTCAAAACCTTGACATTTTTATCATTTTCTCAGAACAAGTTAACTGGTACAATTCCTTCTTGTCTTTATAATATGTCATCTCTCACTATGATCTCAGCTACAACAAACCGATTTAATGGTTCTCTTCCACCCAACATGTTCCATACCCTCCCTAATCTCCAAGAACTTTATATCGGTGAAAATCAAATTTCTGGTCCAATCCCACCCTCCATCACAAATGCATCTATGTTCTTTTTAGCACTTGAAGCTAGTCGAAACAATCTCATGGGACAAATTCCGAGCTTAGGGAAGCTACAATATCTTGATATCATATCTCTGTCTTGGAACAATCTAGGTAACAATTCAAGTAATGATTTGGAGTTTTTAAAATCATTGACAAACTGTAGTAAGTTGCAACTATTATCTATATCCTACAATAATTTTGGGGGTTATTTGCCAAATTCATTGGGCAATTTATCTACCCAACTTAGTCAACTATTTCTAGGAGGTAACCATATATTGGGAGAAATCCCTGCTACATTAGGAAATTTAATTAGCTTAACTCTTTTGACAATGGAAGATAACAATATTGATGGGAATATCCCAACAACTTTTAGGAAGTTTCAAAAGATGCAACGCTTACGCTTAAGTGGAAACAAGCTGTTAGGAGAGATTGGAGCCTTTGTGGGGAACCTCAGCCAATTGTTTTATCTGGATTTGGGAGAAAATATGTTAGAAGGAAATATTCCTCCAAGTATAGGAATGTGCCAAAAGTTGCAAAGCTTAAATCTTGCCAATAACAACCTTACAGGAACCATACCCTTGGAGATTTTTAAAATTTTCTCTTTAACAAACTTGTTGTCTTTGTCACAAAACTCATTGAGTGGTAGTATACCGGAAGAAGTGGGCAACCTAAAAAATATTGGTTTTATAGATTTGTCTGAAAATCTTTTGTCCGGTCACATTCCTGGAACTATTGGAGAATGCATTATGTTGGAGAACCTTTCTTTGCAAGGGAATTTTTTACAAGGAATCATACCATCCTCCTTTTCATCACTCAAAGGTCTTCAATATTTAGACCTGTCACTAAATCGCTTGTCTGGATCAATTCCTAATGTTTTGCAAAATCTTTCTTTCTTACAATATTTCAATGTAGCTTTTAACATGTTGGATGGTGAGGTGCCAACGGAAGGTGTCTTTCGAAATGCAAGAGGGTTAGTGGTGACTGGAAATAGTAAGCTTTGTGGAGGTGTTTCAGAACTGCATCTACCGCCTTGCCTTGTCAAAGGTAAAAAACTTGCAAAACATCACAAGTTAAGATTGATAGCAGTGATAGTTAGTGTGATTGCGTGTCTTCTCATAATATCAATTATTCTAACTATCTACTGGATGAGGAAACGGAGTAAGGAACCATCTTTGGATTCACCAACAATTGACCAATTGGCTAAAGTTTCATACCAAAGCCTACATAATGCAACTGATGGATTCTCAAATGCAAACTTGATAGGATCTGGGAATTTTAGTTTTGTCTACAGAGCAACTCTTGAGTTTGAAGACAAAATTGTTGCCATAAAGGTCCTAAACCTTCAAAAAAAAGGAGCACACAAGAGTTTCATTGCTGAATGCAATGCACTTAAAAATATTAAACATCGAAATCTAGTACAAATTTTGACATGTTGTTCCAGCACAGATTACAAAGGTCAAGAATTTAAAGCTCTAATTTTTGAGTACATGAGCAATGGAAGCTTAGAGAAATGGTTGCATCCTATGACAGTAAATGCAAAGCATCCTATAACCTTGAATCTTCTTCAAAGATTAAACATCGTGATTGATGTTGCTTCTGCATTACATTATTTGCATCATGAATGTGAGCAATCAATCATTCATTGTGATTTAAAGCCAAGCAATGTTCTACTTGATGATGACATGATTGCTCATGTGAGTGATTTTGGCATAGCAAGACTTCTCTCAACAATCAATGGTTCTACTTTTAAGCAAACAAGTACAATTGGAGTAAAGGGGACCGTTGGTTATGCTCCTCCGGGTATGTTCTAAACTCTTGAATAAGTGTTTCTTACGAACCTTAAAGAATAAACTTTATAAGTTCATAATTCTAGAGTTTTAGAGAGAGGAACTATAGATCTTAAAATTCTTTCTTTCTCTCCCTAACCTTCTCGAGTGTGTAGAGTTTCGTGGTTGAGTAAATAGAGTAGTGATTGGAAGTCGTATAGCTGAAAATCACAGTAACTATAGTGTTGTGTGAAGGTTCCGTGCATAGCTCTTCTCCTTATTCCTTCTCTATTTTATTAGATTTCGAAGGTAAGAGAAGCTAAAACTTTATAGTTAGTAGATTGTGGTGTTGCATGTACCTTGATTATTTTGAATGTTTGTTGGTATGCTTAATCTAAAGTGGGTGTTGGATTTTGAAGAACTTGGTGTTCTTCGTGTACTCAATGCTCTTGTTGGAGAAGGAAAATTTGGATGATCTATTTAGTGTATTGTTACATGTCTCATTTTCTTCGATTTATGAGTTACACGTTATAACTCGAAGATTCTTAGTTTGCATGCATGTATTGTTGTATGGGTTGAAAGGATTTGAGATTGTTCTTGAGTTGTTGGATTTTCTCAAAGTCATGCGTGTTTTTTGGGTTTAGTCGCTTAAAGCATCCATGGGAGTTGCTTCAAGTGAGCTTGGATGGTCGTTCAAAGATGCTCTCTAACTTAGGTCGTTTAGAGCGAATTCTGGTTGTTCAAAACAAGCTATTGGTTTCTTGGAACAAGCTGTTGATAACTCCAAGCTAGGTGTTGATAGCTTCGAACTAGCTCTAAGCTAGGTGTCGGTGACTTTGAGCTAGTTGTTGGTAGCTTTAAGCCAAGTGTTGGTAGCTTCGAATTAGTTGTTGGTAGCTCCAAGCTAGATGTTGGTAATTTCAAGCTTGGTGTTGGTAGCTTTGAGCTAGGTGTTGATAGCTGTGAACTAAGTGTTTGGTAACTTTGAGTTAATCGTTGGTAGCTCTGAGTTAGGTGTTCGTAGCTTCAAAATTGGTGTTTGGTAGCTCCAAGCTAGGTGTTTGGTAGCTTTGAGCTAGGTTTTGGTGGCTTTAAGCTAGGTTTTGGTGGCTTTAAGCTAGTTGTTGATGGCCCTAAGCTAGGTGTTTGATGACTTCAAGTTAACTGTTAGTTGTTTACATGATGCATGATGAAGATTAAATGTAATTCATTGTATATTGACTTATGAGGATGATTTAGGTTGCCTAACTATTGTAAGTTGTCTAATGTTGTAAGTTTCCTATTATGATAAGTTGTATAATGTTGCAAGTTGTCTATTGTTGTAAATTGCTTAAGTAGTATGACATTTTAAGTTGTTTTATAATTGTATTAATGATAAATTTGTGTGTTGTAAGTTGGTACACTAGTTATGATGTCATGATGATAAGTTGTATGATGATATTTAAGTTGCTAAAGTTGAAAGTTGTATGTTGATTTGAAATGTTGTTCATGATTATATACATTGATCTCTGAAGATGATGTTTGTGAGTGATACAAGTTGAAAGATGAGTTAAGTTGTATGTTGTTCAATTGAGTAGTTATGTTGAATATGCATTATGCATGATATTGATGTGTTGTTGAGATGATGAATGTTGAGAATACTTTAGGCCTTTAGGCATAGTGTTGAAAGTTGAATTGTCTTAGTTGACATAAGACTAAAGGAGATGTTTTAAAAGTTGTATATCTCATTGTGTGTATATTGTATTGTGGTGCTTCGAGAGTCAAGTTTATTGAAAATCCCTATTGGGAAGTTAACCCTTGAAATGGAAAGTTGAGTCTTCTCTAAGTCCTTAGTTAATGTGGAATAAAGTATGAAGTTGAGGGTTGCCACTCTTAACTTATTACTAAAGAGGTTGTGTGGTTCCTTGCAAATAATTAGTGAACTCCATGAGTGACTTAGTAATGCATGTTAAGGTCGTGGTATGCTTATACCTAGCTATATCAGTCTTAACGGTAGAACCAAACTTTCATAATTTAAGTGGTGACATCCAAAAAACCATGTTATGGATTGATATTCAAATTTGACGTTGATCTATAAAAAGATCATTTGCGTCGATTGGTTTGGTAGGGTTAGGTCACTTAGGCTACTCACATGTGTTGTATGAGATATTTTAGTTGAAATGCATAACGACACATATGGTTGTGTTGTTCATATGCAATGTGGATTTGTGTGTTGCCGTGTTGAAATATGAGTTATTGAAAGAAATTGATTTAGTTGTTCAATTATGTAGTTGTTTTAAGTTGATTATTATAATGTTGTTTCCATTGATGTTATGCTTATAGTCAAAAAGCTAACCTAATATTTAAGTTGTTATATTGATTTGATGCCTTTAAGTTGACATGTTGTCAAGTTGTGTTGTGTTATAAGTTTGCTTTGTTGCTCTTATACTGTGTTGAGATGTTGTATAGTTAATTATGTTTCCATAATGCAATGTTGTATAAGTTGTTGACTATTAAAAATTGCGTTGTATATATACCAATTTCAAACATATTGATACTAAGTGGATTGTTGTATGATGTGAACCATGAGACATTGCTTGATTGGTTTATATGTTGGTGTTTAGTATAGATGTTTTCTTCATATACTTGCATTCTTTAAAATGTAGCTTACTTTTGCATGTTTTATTGGTGATTGAATGGGATGATCATACTTTTTCACGAGTGTAGAGCAGGACTAGCTGGAAGAAGGTTCTTGTTTTATGAAGTCATGTTGTTGACATGTAGCTTAATGCTATTGTTGGTGGAGGGTTGTAGTTATTAGTAGTTGTTTGACCAACAATTTAGGGTTGCATTTTTAGTCACCTAGGTTACTATATAGTCTTATATAGACATATGTTATGTTCGAGATTAGTTGTAATTTAGTATGTTTATATATTAAATGTTGAATACCCAACTATTGTTGAATGTTATCACTAAGGAGTTGTTGCTCTTCCTTTTTTCGTTGTTTGTCGTATTGTAAGTGTAGAGTCTATGATGGATCATTACATTGTAACTACACATGTGCTTTCCTATTCATATATTATTACTTACTTTGCTAAAATACTAATTGAGTCACTAGAAAATTGCATATAGTCACATTCACCAACACTCATTATTTGGGGGTGTTTGGCTAGAGTTGAATCTACTAGTATATTCATATTCACTACTTGAACATAACTCATTTAAATAAATTATGTAATTCATTGTTTATTTGATAAGTTCTCATCAAATGAGAGTCAATATTATAAACTTTAGTATAATAAAATAAAATAAATTATTTGAATTAAATTTATTGAAAAAATATTGAAAAATTTTAAAAAATCAAAAGTCATTTTCATAACTTGGACAAACATGTATTATCTTTTGGAGAGAATCATGTCTGAGGCAAACGATCAAACACTAATGTGAGAACTTCTTCTATCGAGGGTTTGAATCTTTATCCATCACATTATAGGAGACTAA